TATATTTAAAAAACACAGGATTAACAGGCGTTGTGGTAATGATATTTTAGAACTCTTAAGATCAGAAGGTTTAATTGTACCAAAATCCTCTTCAACGCTTTTGAAAACATATAAAACTTCAACAATTGATGATAGCGAAATGCTATAAATTATTTTATATTAGTTTTAGTTAATTTTAGATATGCTAAGTTATATTAAGTTAATTATTTAAATTAATTTTCATTATGTTTACTAGTTTTTACTAGTTTATTATTAATATCTTAATAAAATTTATAATAATTTATAATAAAATTTTTAATTTACTTCTAACACTTTTAATTTTGAATGTAATGTAAAAAATTATTATATAAAATAAATAAAAGTACAAAATACAATAATTTCTTTCTACTTATTTAAAGAGAAAATTGAAATTTATTTAAAATTTAAAGAGCGAAATAAAAGAGTAGAAATAAAAAAAAAGGGTGAAAAAATTATATGAGCACTGCACTAAGAGCGCACAACTTTCTGTCGAATGCGTCCGTTATGCAAGACATGGTCTTCGAGACGGTCTTCGAGACATGTACGCAAAAATTCATTAAAGACATTTGGCTAATTTGTATGAAAGTGTCTTCAAAGACCGTCATACATTTGGATCGATCGGTCTTCATGTATGTATCCATGTCTTGAAGACGTCTTCGATGACGGATCGATCCGTTTTCTACTGGGCTTATGCCTAAAAGCAGTCCTAATTAAAATTCCTTCGACATGATAGAAAGATACGCGGCGAGTGGCGGCTGCGAGCAGCAAAACCAGCAGTTACGGGTGCTACATATAGACAATGTGCCTTGTTAATTACGTTTGAAATGCTCATTATAAAAATAACTTTCGCAGCAAATTGGTTTCTTTAATTTTTTGTCCTACCACTTCTTTCAATTCTGCCTCAGCTAAGAACCACATGTGCCACTCAACTCCGTTCAGCTCTGTTCTGTCGGTCGGTATGTCGTTTATTAACGATTCTTACTTTTCTTTTCTGCTTAAGCGGGAGAATTGTGGCGACGATGCGATTCTTGCATGATTTAACATCTTCAAAAGATTTTGCAAAGAGCGTAAGACTTAAAAGGGTAATAAGAGAAAAAGCGCATAAAAAGTTTCAAAGAAAAAAGAGAAATCAACAATCGTAAAAAGAAACGAATCAAATTTATATATTTATTTGAGACCATTTTAATTAAGTTAATAGGGTCTAAAGCGCCTACATCAGTGCTGTAAAGTGGAGAAAAAATAAAAGAAACAAAAACAAAAACAAAAAAACCAAATAAAAACCTAACAATTTGTTAACGACGGACTAAAATCTGAGAACTGCGAGTTGGAGGTAAATGCAACAGTCATGCGACCATTATATGGCCTAATTGTATTGCACATTGGAATAAATAAAATAACAACAAAAACAAAACAAAAAATGCAAATTTAAATGAGAAGAAATGTGAGGATAAGTAGAGGTATTCCTTTAACTACAAATAAATAGCAACTTCTCTGTCAACGAAGTAACAGATTTATAGCAATCTTCGAAACAAAAAATAGCGAGGTATGCGTAGGTAACTCTAATTGATAGAAAGTTTTATTGAAATTAAAACTTACATACAAAGAAAAAATGTAAAATATTTTAAAACCTTTTTAGGCGAATCAAATGGATTTTTCTACCATCGATTAATGCTATATATCCTTTAATTACAAACTTAGTATTATACCCTTACAAGTGCCATTCACTACACATGAAATAAAAAAAAGTCGAATGTATTTATTTTTTTTTTTTTGTTGAATTTCGCACTCTTTAAAAATAACGATAGTGACAATTTAAATGAACTATAAAAACTGGACCAAGTCCATCACTAGCAACAATAGTAACTTCTTTCTTATTATTTCTCTTTCTTTTAATTATTCCATGTATTTATCAAGTATATTAAGCAATGTGCAACTATAAAATGGCTAACTTGAGCCTCAAATAAGTTCAATATAGCACTACTTACTACTTTCCAATTAAAATTAATATGAAGCTGCATAAAATTGTAAATTCTTGTCCAACAGACTCAGAAATAGATATTGGAGTACATGAGTACATGTTGAATACATATTTTGTCACTTAAATTTTCTAATTTAAGCCCTAAAAGTATTTTCTACTCAACCATGACTTTACTCAATACGTGCACTGTACGTTTCATTTGTTCTATTTATTGTTATCCCAATCAATAATTTTCGAATTATTAAATACATTGATCACATTATTGCACATTTTTACTTTAATTAGTTTTCGAACCTTTATGATTTGAGAACAAATATCTTTATTACAGCACATAACACTTAACATACTTATCGCATCTAAACTTCCCCCATGTCCAACAATATGCAAATAATATTTTATAGATCACAACTTTTAAATTGGAGGATTATTTAAGCAGTATTTAAAATCTAATATTTGATATGTTATTTGCAGTATGACACAGTCGAGAATTTTCTTCAAGAAATCCTACTCAAAACAGTAATGCCACTTTTTAAACATATCTGCACTCAATAAGAGCAAAACATGTTTGGCTTGAGGTTAACTATAACTAACAAAATATTAAAGTATTTTTTTTAATTGAGATAATAGAAATTTTATTTAATTAAATGCGATTAATTAAAGCAGTAATTAAAAATATTTATTGACATGAACGATCTTGCGATAATATTTTTGTATAATTTACTGCATTAATTTTCTTAATTGAACAAAGTTGCAAAACACATAGTCATAATTAGCATTATCTCTAAAAAATATTATTTAATATAAAATAACTTCAATTTTTGCACTTAGGCTCACTTGTAGTAATTTTTACGTTTTAATGAAGCACAATTAAAAAAAATGCGATCTTTTCAATTTCAACATGGAAACGATCATAGGCAGGGTAGGTGTTTATTATAATAGCAAAATATTTTACAAATGTGTCCAGCTTCTTTGCAACGCTAACGGCTTAGCGATTAATGAGAGTAAAACGAAGTATATGTCGGCAGAAATGTGCGTTACTCGGATGACGAGCTGATTGCTAGTGATTATACTTTCGTAACTGTCAAGAATATCATTTATCTTGGCACCGCCGTAATTACTAACGATGTTAACCTGGAGATCAAACTAAGAATTACTATTGCCAATAGGTACTACTATGGACTCAGAAGACAATTTGGATGTAGAGCTTTCTCTTGACCGACAAAACACGCTCTGTACGATGGTCATCCCACCTCTGCTTATCTCTGATCATTCTGATTACAGAATGATGAAATAGCACTTGGATTTTCGAGAGAAAAGTACGAGTTAATGACAACTACCACATAGCCATTAATAATGGCTTTAATATGACATTGACATCATTCAATGAATTTACATCCAGCAACTTTTCTTTCTTTTCTTGACGATGCTTCAGCAAAAAAGGTGTTTGAAGCAGCAGTTGGAGAAAGAAGACGTAAGGAAAGAATGTGCCTTCCATGGCGTGGTCAAGTTGAAAGAGCACTAGCCGTGCATCTCCAAACGTACGCAACCAGAGAAGGTGTGCATGCAGCAAAGATGCCAGGAGGGGAGTGCGATATCAGATTAAAGCCCAATGACAGGTTGCTATGGCTAAATAACTAAGGACAATACGAAGTATGCCCTTGCACTCCACTTCGTCTTAAAATAAGTGACCAACTTAGGTCAATTTAATACATTAAAGTAACAAAAGCCTATGGTGCTAGCTAATAGCACCCAAAACACAAAAAAAGCAGTAGCAGCTAACAGCACCATTAATTTAAAACAAATCAAAATAAAGTATGAGTTCATGTCTGAAAAAAATATTTTTGATATTATAATAAATAGTTGTAATTACTAAATAGAACAATTTTTGTTAATTTTAACAATTTGCAAATATAATAATATATTAAAAACACTACAAGCTGTAAAAAGCCACGTAGTGACTTTATAGTCGTAATAGCAAGACTTTTAATTTTTCTACATAAAATCAAATTTTCGTTTACTTTTCATTTTCTTTATTTTGTTATTCATTAATATTTATTAATAGTAAATTAATAAAATTGTTGTATAAAATTATTTAAATCAAAGTAAAGAAATTTTTTTTATTGCACTTCAAAAGTAATTAAAAATGTTAATTGTTGGCAAGAAACGTTAATTAAAAATCAGCAGAAACAACAACAACAAATAATAACAACAACAAATAACAAAATGCTAATTACAATTTTCAATTTCAAAAATATATAAAAAAAAAACAAACTGGCGACAATTTCTTATTTTTTCTTGTCTTAATTAGTGCAATCAAATTTTACACCACAATCAAATCGCAACTAACGAACAACAACAACGATTATAAACTCTACAGAGGCGGAACCCATCAAGTGGGAGAAACATATCTGACACCATAAAGGGCATTTTATAATATGCACTACATATGCAGAAAAACACACACACGCATTAAGAATTGTTTATGATATGCAAAAAGTGATTTATTAGTGCAATAATAAATCATTGCACGTGACGTATGAGTGATTTTAAATACGTTTAGGCGGAAAGAGAGAGAGAGAAAGAGAACCGCGGTTGTATATACCGTAAAATATCATACTCTAACCGTAAACTACGGCACTGCTTTTTGCGCTGCATTTTGCCATTCTATAAGCAGCGAAATCTACACTCACAGTGAACAACAAAGCAATTATGTTGGTTAAATTAAATTATACGCTTGGATTGTAACATTTTTTCACTAATTTATTTGTATTTTACTTTATTATCATATTATTATTTTATTTTTATTAACTAATTTATGTTTAAAAGCTAAAATTTTTTAATATTCCACATAAAGATGAAAAGATGTCTGTACTGTAGACAAATGTGGCAAACTTCAAAAA